AAGCTACCATGAAATCTTAAATTAAGTGTGCTGTGAGGAAATGCATCAAGTCACTCTGGGTCACCGCACCAAACCCTTGTAAGACAGTGCAAAGCAGAAGCCTAAATAACAGTAGACAGCATGAGCAAACTGTAACCTCAAAATAACTGCACAGGATGACTTTTTAAGAGCAACCAATCTGGAGGTGGCATCAACTTTGTTATTAATTCTAATCAGTCAAAGGTGGGGTTGTAACCTTACCCGCATATCAGCAACAGCTTAGGGGAATTATTCTGTCATTCCCTTAGACTGCATGGTGCAAACATTAAGCTTGATAAAACCTTTCATTCTAGCTGCAAGGAAAATTGCTGATGGGGTACACTGAAATAGTGTCCATGCTCCCAGTCAGGCAGAGGGAGCCACTGCAGCCTGTGCTCTGGAGAGGAACAGCCCACAGGTTATCAGGAACCAGAGCATGGTCCCAGCTTCTTGTTGACACAAGCAGGACATAATGGCACAGATGTGACCAAGCCCTCTACAGCATCCCCACCCCAGCACAGTTACCCTGTGGCAGGAGCCCAGCTGTGTGTCAAATTCAAGGCAGACAGAAAGTGTTTTAGCAGACTGGTTCCTGCTCGCAAGCCGCTCTTCACGCCACAGGGTTGCTCAAGTCTCTGTGGAGTTCAGCACTTCACCTGTTGAACAGGAATGATAAGCATTTAGAGGATAAATTAAAGTTTTAATTACGTTGGTTGTATGGTAATGAGACTATTCAAAGTAGTAACTAATTGCTGATTTCAGGTACATGGAGCTAATCCCAGCACTGTCAGCAGGACCTTTTCTGTTCCCATTTGAAAGCAAAACAATAAAAATGATGTTGTTGTTGTGTTAGCTTGGCTGCCTCAGAAAAAACTCTCCCTCACCCAATCCCCATAATTTAGTTTATGGGCCTGATATAACAAGAACCAAAATTCAGCTTGCAACTTGCCTTGCATAGTTCTGACCCAGGAACAGGGACGGGGGAGCGATAGGAACAGTATCCACCACGGTGTGTATCTTTCACAGAGAAGTGGCAACTCTTATGATGCTGATTACAGCCCCCAAGGCTCTTAACTGAACATTAAACATAATTTTTAAAACCCACAATGAAGTAAGATGGTAATTAATTTTATTACTTAGGTAACCTGCCCAGCAATCAAGTATTTGCACAATACTCAGTTGGGATTCCCTAGCCTGTGCAAACATAAAACAAACAGACCGAAACGCTGTCATTAAGACCTAACAGAAAGCTGCAACATATACAAAGGCTCATTACCGCTCATTAAAAATGCTTCAAGCTTAAAAGAGAGAGGCAGCCATTAAGGGCAACCATCAGAGGTCTCATCAGCTCATGGCATATTTAAAATACAGTACGCAGCAAGGTGAACAGGTGCAAGCACAAGCCCACCGCAGGGCAACCTAATGGTGCCGCTGCCGCTCTCTGTGCCAGGCAGCAGGGACAGATGGTGTGGGGAGCTCTGGAGCCACCACACTGGGACAGGCAGGGGCAGGCAGCTGCCCAGCCTGGTGGGAATGCTCCTCCGTCACCACCCGCCACCCTGGCTTCACTCGATGCCCGGCATAGCAGGACCTGGGAGTCCAGCCTTGAGGTTTTCATTGGGCTCCGATGCTCCTTCTCAAATACACCATTCCTTACAGTTATAGTTTTAATTAATTTAGAATGAACTATTTGGGTCTCTTAATTTCCCATCTTATTTTGACAAAGTCCAAACGACGCTGAGCTAAGTAGCTCCAAAGGCTCCCCAGCTCTCTTCTACCCTGAATGGATCCAATTAAAATGAGACACTATTCAAAATGTCAAACCACAATCATTTTAAAAGCCATTGTGCAACAGATCTATGGCTACATATAAACCACACAATTACTGAATAAATCACGCAATAGTTGGAAACCTAAAGCCTAAAATGCTCTCACTCAAGATGCAGCCTCCCCTGTCAGCCATGAGTGTGTTCAGAACTTGCAGTAAATAAGTCGCATTTCCTTTTACAGGACAATTAAAACCATGGATTATAATTAAACACGTATAAATTAGACCATAATGTATGATAAGGACTTAAATGCAGAAAAGACAGTCCAGAAGCTCTGCTGACTGTGGAGTTGAAGGACCTCTGAGCCAGCACAGGCAGAGGCTGGTAAAGCAGCACCCTGCAGAACTGCAGAAATCTCTCTGTTCTGCTTCCAGAACCACACAGACACACTGGCAATCACTACAAGGGTCTCCACAACTGTGACACATTTCAACCTGGAACTCTTGTGATCCACTTACAATTTTTTTCTGCATTAGCTTTCTCAAACCTTTAGAGAGCGTAATAAGGTCTCTCTCTCATACACACCTCTCTCACTAGATAAAGTCTTTTTCTTTATTTCAACTTACTTGCTTGAAAAATCCTAACTCTTTCATTCTAGCTTTGGAAGTATTTTGCCTAGCTGTTGAAAAGAAACAGGTATTAAATCACTGCTGAATGGGAGACTCAATTGAAAACTGAGACAGGTCAAAATTTCAGATGAGGGTTTGTTTTTAATGAGCTATAACACTAACATATTTCAATTAATTGTCTTGACTTCTGCAGAAAATTGCTCCTCTCTTTCCCACCAGTCAAACGAATTTTTCCTAACCAAAGCAGCAGGATCATTGAGTACTTGGTCAGAGCGCAGGAAAGTATACTCTTTCAAATGGACTTCAATTTTGTATTTATTTAATCTCATTGCCCTTGCAATGAAAACTGAAAATTTCCCACTCACTTCGAAGTTAAGTTTCAGCAGCAGAGAAAGGGATTAGAAAAATGTGAGCCTTAGGAACAGCACGCTCCCCTGAGAGAACCCATCCAGGGGTCAGTGGTCTTGATGTACCACCAAGGAGCAGCAAAGGAGGTGTCAGAGACCAGCCCAGAGGGGTGCCTGAGGCAGCAGGGAGGACACGGTGACAGGGTGACAGCTCTGGTCACTGCCAGCCCTCTCTTCCCCCAGCCTGTTGATGCCTCCCTCTCAGAGCAGGGAAATCCAAACAAATGCTGCACCCATGCTTCTGGGTCTGCCCAGAAGAGCACTGCAAAAAACAAATAACCCTTTGAGGAAGCTGCTGCACAACTAGAGCATTTCTCATATATATAGTGCTCTGTGAGCTGCCTAGTTCCACTTCCTCTTTGTCGTTTTGTGGGAAAGAAGATCTCCTTCAGATCAAAAATTGCCCAGGAAATCTCACACGAGATGATTTTGTCATATGCTTTCATGACCTTCAGCCCTCCCCACCTGTGAAATGAAAAGAAAAATGGTAAGATCTTTATATTTCCATTTGTGAATTACTTGAGAATTGAACTGCAAACGTGTCTTGTCCTGCAAAACTGAGAAAAACAAAAACTTGAGTATTTCTGTCAGGCAAAAGGAGAGCAAAACTGAGATCAGTAGCACAGTAGAAGTACGGTGGCATTTCTGCCTGGCTGCAGCAGGCAGGTGCAGTGCAGCAGTTTTCATGCCAAAGTCACCCCTGCGCAGGGTCTGAGGCGCCACAGTAAGCAGAGGGGAACAATGTAGAAGCCCTGAAGTACCACAGTGCAGTAACAGCTGGAAAATGTCCTCCTGAACATAATGTTGTCGGTGACAAAGACAGAGTACCAAGAAATGGCAATTTTCACCTGTCAGAAGCAAATTATCCAAGCTTGGAGAGGAGGCTCGAGAGAATGAGGGCAGAATTATCTAGAGCAGTTTGCACAGCCCTGAAAAAGATCTGAGACATTAAACTACCAATGTTTTCACTTCCTGAGACTCTCCATGTGACTTTATATGATGCCAGCAGCACAGAGAAATGATGTGCATTTCTACAGACTGCCATTTGTGCCCCTAAAATGAAACAATTTTAATTGCTTATGATTACCTTCTAACTAACTGATACATGGCAGCCTTGTCCAGGGGTTAAGTATCATTATTAACTAAGTATTTGACGTACAATGTTTAGCCAATATTTGCTTAGTAATACATAGTTAATAATGTGCAAATAATTCAAAGAAAACCATCACATTCTCTCCGTGTAGTCCCCTTTCATTGTCAACATGTTTTTGCCTCTTAAATTCACTTCTCCTGACCCTTTTCCTGGTCAGCTGGGTATTCCCTTCCACTACTGAGCATTAATACTTTATTGTAGTGTTTTCCTGAGTTGTCCGGCTAAGACGGAGCAGGTTCTCCAAGCCACAGTTTCCTGCCATGGCCAAGATGTTTCTTCACCCAGAGGACACTCTGAACTACACTTTGAGCTTGGAACAGCTGCCTCTCTCCATGCCTTTTAACAGAATATAGTATCTTACAGATTTTTCTGCCCTATAGCAGCTCCCAGAGTAGGTTCAAAGGGAAGGTAACAAAGTTAGTTCCACTTATCTGAATTCAACACCACACACTATCACAATGTCCTTCAGGATGTTTCCTGATATTTGTTCATTGGCCACCAGCCCCAACCTCAAAGCAGTATAGCTAAAAGGCAGCTCCAACCTTTAGGGGAACCAAATCAACCTGTGGATCACAGGCTCAGGGGTTAGCTGCAGCTGAGAAGAGCTTTTGCATCAGTTCCTCAGTTAGCCTGGGCAACTGCTTGACGTGGCAGCATGGGTTCATTACACGCCAGGGAATCAAAGGATGGCACGATGCAAGTCACGTATGCTCTCAGTAAACCACCTGAGACTTGTCAGCGAGTGAGTTACTTCTTGATGAAATACAGGAAGAAGAACTGCATTTAATTAAAAAATGTTAATCTTTGTTCACAGACTCACCACTTGTTATTACATACACGCACAGAAGGAAAGGGCATCAGACAGGTTACACACTGTAAAATTGCTTTTTAAGACAAACCTCATATGATGTCAAACCTATTTCTTTTCCAGCATATGTCTTTTTACAAATACTTCTCTGCTTATACGAATAAATAATTGAGGATTCAGAAAATTTACAGCACTTCTTCCTTCTCTATTACAGGAATGACCTGCCAAGCTCGAAGTTCATACATTACGAGTGAGATCCTGTGGGGTTACCGTTTCACCCCTGTTCTCACACTGGAGGATGGATTTTATGAGGTTGACTACAACAGTTTTCATGAAACGTATGAGACCAACACACCAGTTTACAGTGCCAAAGAGCTGGCAGAGATGGCCAGCCGGGCAGAACTGCCCCTGACATGGTCTGTTTCCAGCAAGCTGGACCAGCATGCTGAGCTGGAAACTGAAGAGGAAGAAAAGAATCAAGAAGACCAAAACGAAAGAAACGGTGATGTGGCCAACTTGGAGAATGAATCCAAACTGTAGAGCCACTGGAGGTATAAGGGCCTTTATCTTCTCCCTCTTTGCTCCCCTTTTCTTTCTCCAACATAGCTATTTTTTTCCTTCCTTGTTATTCTTAAATATGGGAGAATAAATACTTAAGATGCGAAATATCTACCTGCCCAATTTAAACTCAAGAGATTCATAGACTAAGCAAAGGAGTGGGTTAAAGCTGCAATACCCATTATTGATGGCAGAATCTCAATCCCCACCCTGGGAATGACTGCTGGCTTCCTTGGCACCTCTCTGGGTCAGACCTCCAGGTTTATTCACATCAACAACCAAAGTAAATGGTAATATAGACAAGGGATTTAAAAGGAAAGACTAATTAATGCTCATCACAGTAAAGGGCCTTTGCCCCAGTTTTTATGTATTTCAGAGCAGTTTTACATACTGAGTGACAAGTCTCTATGAAATGGGCCTTGCAGCTTTAAGACCAAGGTGAGCAGAGGGATCTGCAATCCAACACGATACTGTACATATGCCTTATGTAATTACTTTCTCTTTACATTTAGTAATAAACACCGCATGTACAAAAGTACTGTAGTAAAGAACTTCTAAATAATGTACATAGATGTGTAATTAATGTAGGTTTAGAAACAGAGTTCTAGAAATATTGGGATGCAAAAACTAATCGAGTAGGCATTTCTCTTCTAATATTTGGATTGTAATATTTATTTTTTTCCCCTATATCTATGGCTCTTCTAGTGCATGACATTTTCTTCAGTGTACCAGACTGGCAGCTGTTTAGAGTACCTCACTGTTTGCCAAACAGATCATTTTACTGACTCTAAAAAGCCATAGGTCTGGAAGAGGGCAGGGTAGAGAAATTGTAACGCAATTACTGATATACTGTGAAAAGGTTTACAAATAAGGCAAACTGTTCCTGGCTATTTTTTTTTTTTTTTTTTTGGCAGTTCAACCTAAAATTTAGGCTGTGGCAAACTCATGGCAAACCAGAATTTCCTGTATACTCTTAATATTGCAAGCATGTTTCATGTGGAGGTATGATCCTTTATGTGCAATATCTAGGGAAACTTCTCCCTTCTCCCCACCCAAACCACGGGATTTCTGTGGAGTAGTTTGCTACGCAAACAGCATAAGCCATTGAAAACCGAATGTTGCACCTTAAGTGAGTAGATTTTAGCTACTCAGCTGGAAAAGAAGCAGCTGAATTTTGTCCGAAGCCGTAATCAATGAAGTTCATTTGTTGACAGCATCAGAGCTCGGCCAGTCCGGCAGAGTCACGGATGGTGTGACGTCCCTGGCTATATGTTTCAACAGGCTTCACGGTTCCTGCCACCTGTGCTCAGGAGAGTGGTTCCCTACCAACTTTCTTCACCTTAGGTTAGCTCCTTGGCTGTTGTAAATCAGTGTAAATCCTGTACATTCCAACTGGAAAGTTTTGACATTAACGGGGCAGTGATAATTTGCATAGCTTACACGGCAACACTCACTTGAGTAGGGGAGCTGATGTGTACGGTCACAGTTTCACAGACATGCTCCATAAGGTGCTGCTCACACGGTGTGCTGTTGCCCAGAGCTAAGGACTGCTCAGTCAGGCCCAGCCTGCATAAAATACTACCTGTTGAAAAGAGATTGCCTTGCTTTCAGTGGGCTTTTGCTCAGGCCCATCAAGAAGAGAGTTTCTGTCAGCAAAGGAGAAGAAGCTGCAGCCTTAATTTTGTTTTTTATACCTGCCCACTCCAGAAAGGAAGAATTCACTGAAGAGAATCTGAAGCATTTTTGTACAGAAACATTTACGTTAAAATAGAAGAGAAAAAAAATAACCTCAGGAGAAATTTAGTGGGCAGATGGAAATTTTGCACTGTGATATAGCTTTCATATTAATTTCACACCTATTTTTTTGTTTTCTGAAACAACTGCCCCTTGCTTATTTTCACAGTGTGTAGCTAATCGCTGGGGTTTCCACAGGTCCTCTAGCTGTGCTTCATGCTGAGATGGGCAGAGTAGGGTGCAGGGAAAGGGTTGCACAGATCAGGCTGGATGGGAAGAGTTTTTTGTTCCAACTCTGAACGTTTTCCCTAGAAGGCTTTTACAAAGTGGCATGATGTAGGGAATGGTGCAGAATATGGATTTTTGTTCTCTCCACCCAGGATGGCTTATTCCTCCAACTTGGTAAAAGTTATTTATGCTTCTTTTGTGAAATAACACTCACTTTGCTACAGACTTTCCAAAGCTCGTTCTTCTGCCCCAGCATCAGCATCTGCCAAGTGCTCCAGTTCATCCATCACAACCCACCTGTAAGGCTACCCATGAGAGGTACTGAGCATTGTTAAGGAAGGGTGGTTCCACAGCTCCACTGGAAGACAGAAGCCTTATAGCAGAGGAGCCGCGGGGAGCACGGCATCAGCAACGATGAGCTGCCCATGCGTGTCAGTCCTAGCGAAAGGTGCATGAGCTGAAAGCAAAGCCTTCCTCTGAGGATAAATCTGCTTTTCGCTCTTGTAATTTACTGGGCCACTCTGTAATTCATTGCTGCAGTTTAACAAAAGCTTGTGTTAATTAGAACAGCAGCTCAGGGCCCTAATGAAACCTTTTTTGTGTCCTTTAGCACAAAAAATAGACTTTCTGCCACTGGGGCATGTGCATGTGTAAGCTATATTTTTGTGAATAGGGCACTTAAAGCTTAAGGTGTGTGTGTGTTCGTCTCTTTCTCTCTCTCCCCCTGTATTTTATTGTCTTCAGTATTAATGTAGTATGGACTGTAAAGTTTATGAAATCTCTTTTTTGTAACATAATCTTAAAAAAAAAAATAGAAGCCTCCAAAGCTTTCAACAGGGAAGCTTCAAGTAAACTTTGTACTAAAATGTCCCTATCAAACACCTCTATTTTTCTACAACGATTGATTAAGCAGTTTAACAATGTATTTTGTGTCAATTATTTCAACTGAACTGGTAAAAAGACAATTAAGAATTGAATGCTGTTAATTAACAATGGATTTTCAAGCCGTGTATACTGAGTGGTGTTTTCATTAACAGTAACTTAACAATAACTTGACCTGGGAACTTCATCTCCTAATCTTAAACAATATACTATGAAATATCAGGGCTCTATGGCAATATTTTTGGCAAATCAAATTTAAGGAACATGAATAATGCAACATTTTAATATAATTGACTACACAATTAATTGAGACCCATTACCTCTCTATATACTTCACTAATACATTTTGATGTGTCAGATTTCCTGTGATTTCCAGAAGCAAAAGAATTTGCAGAGACAGATGTGAGCTCTCAGTAATCTACTGCAGCTCTCAGTTCCTTCTTGCAATGAACAGAAATGCCGCAGAGGTGCTTTGTACAGATTTCATGCACAGTGTTGCACAGTCCTCTCTGACTCCTCACTTTTTTTTTCTTTCTTTTTTTTAATAACACACTAATTGTATCTCCCCTGCCCAAGTTTCCAAGCCAGATCTTTCAGGTGTTGATAACAGATACAGACATACTACTTTTAATGAAGCAACACAAACTTCTACCAGGCAAGAATTTGACCTTCAGCAAATACTTGAAACTCTGGCTTATTATTTAGCAATAAATAACATCTTTTCACCATCAAAATAAATTTCAGAAATTATTTCAAGATAGGCATCCAAAAAAGCAAACATTCTCTTAGCAGCATATAGCTGTTGTGATCTAGATCTTTGCCCTGCAAAACCACAGTCATTGGCATTGATGTGAAACATCCCAAGAAATTTAACTTCTGTGATCAAAGTTGAATGTCTGCTTCTATGTCTGTCTTCTTCTTGCCTTGCTGCCTCTTCTTGCCTTGCTGCAAGCATGCAGGTAGAGAGGATTGCACAGCCCTGAGTCAGAGTTCTGCACATCCCTTGCAAGGCGGAGGAAGGAGGTGCCATGCCGGAGAAGGGTCGCCAGCAGGCAGCTGCCGAACCAGGTGGAACAAGGTGCTGGCAAATTCAAGAGCAAAGCATTTGATGGATGGTTTGAAGTTAATATCAAGGCAAGCTCTTGATTTAACTCTGGTGCATGCAGGCCCACAGATCTGGGGTTGCCCATGTTACTCTGCTGCAGTTAAAGAGGAAACTCAGACCTCTCAAAACCAGGGAAGAATTCCCTTCTTTCAGCCATGGGGCAGAAGTTCCCATTTCACTCAGCTGCACGGTATTGGGTTACTTGCGAGAGGGAAGACCTGGATTCAATGCTCTCCTCAGCCCAGGAGGTTCAAAGCTGTATCCCACTTCTCCCAAGAAAGTAACCCTGCCGTAACAGCAAGGGCAGAGCCACAGACCCTATGCCAAGGGCTGACTGGCTCTTGAATGCTCCTGCTAGCCCAAAGAAACTTTAAATCCTTGTGTTTTTAACAGAAGAACGGAAAACTCCTCATTCCCTGGGTCTGTAAGGGACTCTATCCTATCGATCAGGGTGCCCACTGGCTAAAAAGCAGACCTCAGGCTAGGGAAGGCCAGGCGCTCAGGTTTCTCTCCTCCTGAGCCAGCATGGCAACCAGACAGCTGCTGTCTGCAAGCACCACAGCCTTTGCCTATGTTTCTGAATGCAACCAGCTACCACATCTCCTAGGAGGACAAATCCCACAAAGGCTGGGTTTGATGCGCTCTGAACACCACCCACCAGACCGACCTCACCAGGAGGTGCAGGTGGAGGGAAACCAAGATGTTTCATCTCACCCCAGCTTCACTGTCAGTCAGTGACACACTACCCCTCTCAGCCGTCCCAGTGCCATCCCAGTGCTCCCAGTAACCCCCAGAGCCCTGCCAGTGCCATCCCAGTGTTCCCAGTAATGCTCTCAGCCGTCCCAGTGCCATGCCAGTGATCCCAGGAACTCCCAGAGTCCTTCCAGTGCCATCCCAGTGTTCCCAGTAATGCTCTCAGCCGTCCCAGTGCCATGCCAGTGATCCCAGGAACTCCCAGAGTCCTTCCAGTGCCATCCCAGTGTTCCCAGTAATGCTCTCAGCCGTCCCAGTGCCATGCCAGTGATCCCAGGAA